ACACACGTCATTATGTGGTATTATCTTATTAACTCGTGTTTGGATTCTTTTGGTCCCCCACTAGAATTTGAGCCCCTTAGGGGCTGGAGATATCGTGTGTCCCCATTTTCAGATGAGGAAACTGAGGCTCAGGGAAGTTTAGAAACTTGAAAGTTGCTCTGTCTTCTGTCTGCTCTAAAATCCGTGCTCCTGGCATCTCAGCCAGGGGTCTCAAACTCAAATATCTTCAGGGCCCAGGCTGGCAGTACCAATATCTCAAGAGCAGTTTCAGGTTCATAGCAAAATTGAGCGGAAAGTACAGAGAGGTCCCATATTACGCCTTGCCCCTCCCCCATTACAGACACCCCACATCACAGTGGTACATTGGTACAATTGATGAATCTATATGGACCCAAAGTCCATAGTTGACATTACAGTACATTCTATGAGCTTTGACAAATGTTTAATGACATGTATCCACCGTTATAGTATACTACAATATATTAGAATGTTCTAGAATGTTCTAGAATATACTAGAAACTAGAATAGTTTCATTGCCTAAAAATCGTCTGTGCTCTGCTTATTCAACCCTCCCCACCCCGCTAACCCTTGCCAACCACTGATCTTTTTATCCTCTCCATAGTTTTGCCTTTTCCAGAATGTCATAGACTTGGAATCATACAGTATGGAGCCTTTTCAGATGGGCTTCTTTCACTTAGTAATAAGCATTTAAGATTCCTCCACGTCTTTTCATGACTTGAGAGCTCATCTCTTTTTAGCGCTGAGAACATTCCATTGTCTGGATGTCCCACAGTTTATTTATCCATTCACCTGCTGGAGGACATCTTGGTTGCTTTCAAGTTTTGACAATTCTGGATAAAGCTGCCAGAAACATCCGTGGGCAGGTTTTTGTGTGGACCACACTCTGTTCCTTAGAAGGAAGGCACCAAGTCCATTTCCCACTCAAGGGGAGGAGAACTTAGCCCTGCCCCTCAGAGGGAGGAGTATCAAGAACTTGAGGACAAAGATTAAGGCCATCAAAGTGATTAATAAATATTTAGGGGGAGAAACTTTGAGGCTATGCAAATGTCCTGTTTCTCCTTAAAGTTTTGCCCACGAATTTTCTCATCAATCAGTGGATTCTGCCTGCAGCAATATTACAGTGGTATTCTAATGGCAATTTTCTATTTTCATCATTCATTTTACACTTATTAGTTGGAATTCTTCTGTCAGGAAGATTTATCTCTTCCGCCCCATTTTTAAATTGGTTCAATCATGTATTTAAATCAGTATGAACGTGTGGACTTTTATTTTATCCTCTGGGTTATAATCCATTACTGTTGCTATGTATTTTGTTCCCAAATTGTTCCAGTTTCGGTCAGTGGGAGTTCTTTCCAGCTGGTTCCTGTGTCCTTTTGGCTTTTGATTTTATTTTATTTTATTTTTTAGCATTTTCTGACACTGCAAGACGCTCCAGGTGCGCTCTGTATTTTCTCTGCCCCAGCCCTAGAATCAGCCATTTCTCCAAGGAGCCCTGCTTCCTCGTATTGGAAAATGGTATTTAGAAACCAAAATCTGGGTGCTGAGTGTGCTCATTGCTATTGGGGTGTTGCTGCTTCTGCGCCCTGAGCAGACAGACCTAGGAAATGTGTGTGTCTGTGTACTAACCCACATATGCACACATATCTATATTTATTTTTGTATCTATCTATTAAAAATAAACATGTCATGTGGCTGGCCTGGTGGTGTAGTGGTTAAGTTCACACGTTCCGCTTTGGCGGCCCAGAGTTCACAGGTTTGGATCCCGGGCACGGACGTATGCGCCACTTGTCAAGCCATGCTGTGGCAGGCATCCCACATATAAAGTAGAGGAAGATGGGCATGGATATTAGCCCAAGGCCAGTCTTCCTCAGCAAAAAATAAAAAAAATAAATACATAAATCAACCCCAGTTGATTTATGATTATGATAACCCCAGCCCAGCACCACATTGCTCATTTGTAACTTCCTTCTCCAAGAGCATGAAAACTGGCTGCCAGTGTATACAACATATGCACTTATTTGTTCAAAGCTAGCATAAAATTGTTCCAGAATTAACCTGTTCCCTCTGAGAAACAAATAGACCAGCTGGAGTGCAGCGTTTCTGCACCTTTCAGACAGATCTCTGAACGGGAAACCTCTGAGCTGAGCAAACAAGTTTTGTGGTTGTGAGCCGGAGGTGGCCCTTGGGCCTCCAGTTCGAGACCCTCCCAAACCATGACCGCTCTGGTCTGCGGCATGGGAAATTGTCAGTTTGCACCTCTCTGCGGCCGCCTTCATGCGTCAGGACTGGTCGGAGGGGGATGGAGATGGGGCAATGGGAAGTTCTGCTGCAGCCCTCTGACTCTCTGGGTGGGTGGGGGCCTGAGGGGACCGTGGGAGGCTCTTTGCCCTTTCGGAGGCATGGACACGGCTGAGTGAGAGTGGGCACAGACAGGGCGGGGCGGCCCCTGTGGGCGAGGGCCTTGGCAGCAGAACCTGCCAGGCGGGTGTGCCGGCCCGGGCATGCATCAGGCGGGCAGGCTGTGGCAGGAGTGCGGAGGCCAGGGGTGCCCTTCCCCTGGGAAGAGACCAAGCTTGGGTGGGAGGCAGGAGGTGGGGATGGGTGGAGATGCTGGTGGTGCCTGAGTCTGATGGGGCCTGAGCTGAGTCCCCTTCTAATTCCTCTTCAGGGATACCATGGTGACCAACAGTACCCAAGCTAACATGTATTGAGCTCCAACTGTATGCCCAGCTCTGTTCCAATAGTTTTTTTTCATCCTCAACAACATCCCTCAGTGGACACTGTTATTATCCCCATTTTACAGATGAGGCCACCGAGGCTCAGAGTGGGCATCACTTGCCCAGAATCTTAGACTATAAGATAGCTGAGCCTGGCTCCAACCTCCGAGCCCTTAACCTTTACCAATGACTGGGCAGAGGGACAGACAGGTTCCCTACCTTCCTGGAGCTGGGGGTCTAGGGAGGAGGCACACCATTGGCCAGGCGAATAAACAATCAAGGAAATTTCAGATGGTGCCAACTGCTATGTGAGATTGGGGAGATGGAGGACATATCAGGGAAGGCCTCTCTGAGGAGGTGACTGGCTAGGAAGGGCTGGGGGAGGGGTGTTCCAGGCAGACTGATCTCCAAATGCCAAGGTGTTGAAGAGTGTGAGGAACAGGGGGAAGGCCAGTGGGGCTGGAAGGGAGTAGGGCAGGGGGAGAGCAGAGAAATAAGGAGGAGAGACATGCAGGCCTGTGGGCAGTGATGAGAACTTGGACCTTTACTCTGAGGACATAGGGAGCCATGGGAGAGTTTAGAGCAGGAAAGGGAGTTTTAAGAACTGGCTTAAGAACCCTCACGGTGGGTGTGGAATGGCGCACAGGGATGGAAGCACCGAGGCGTCCAGAAGGCTCCTGTCATCTGCTCTAGTCGCCAGGGTCCCAGACTATGGAAAAGGGGCATGGAGGTGGCAGGAGGGGGGCGATGCTGGGCCCGGGACCCGCGGCCGGAAGAGCCTCCTCCGCTGCGTAGAGCCCGCGGGAGGTGAGATTGCCGCCCTGGAGGTGAGAAGCAGCCTCCTTCCTTTTCTGGGGTGCGGCTTCCCCTTCACAGAAAGGGGTCATTGATTGAGCGCCTGCTGTGTGCCACGCACGGCCCAATCTTCAGGGCTCATCCCAGCGGGATAGGTCGGCACGGCGGTGGGGTGCCCCTACCCAAGCGTTAAGGCTCCCCGCGCGTCTTCCGTGGCATCAGGCAGGAGCGACTCTGTCTCCCGCGAGAGGAGCGCGGGCAGGAGCCGCGGGTGTCCCCAAGGGGCTACATGGGGGCGCGATCCGGCCTCGATGCCCCTCGCGGTCCATCCCCGGGGGGGGGCGCCCCCCGATCCACCCCCATCCCCAGCCTCCAGCCTATCGCCCGCGGAGCGCCCTCACCCCACCCGCGGCCGGGACAAGGGGCACCGTCCTGGGGAAGGTCGCGGCAGCCAGGCCCAGCCCCCTCCCCGGCTGTGGCCGCTGGTCTGAGGGTGGGGGGCTGGGCGGGGCCAGGAAGTTCCTGGGAACTGGAGCGGGGGGGGGGGGGGGGTAGCGGGCCAGCTGGGATTGGCCCATTGGAGGAGCGGAGGCCTGGGAGAGGCGTGGGAGAGCGACACAGACAGCAAGACACAGCCAGAGACTGAGAGAGACACACACACAGACAGGGAGAAACAGAGACGGACCCTGAGAGGCCCGATGAGAGAGACACACAGACACTCAATCATTCATTCACTCACGCAGCGGATCCTTCTTGTGTCCTCGCAGCGCCCACAGCAGAAGCAAATCCTGGGGACAGACTGGTGGGGGCACACCCCAGAAACACGATACATGAGTAAATCTCATTGTCAAGAGAGATCAGGGTGGGGCACAGGGGTGGGCGGGGAAGGGGGAGCCAGGGGGGCAGACGAGCCAGATCTTCCTTATCTGGGGAGGAGGAGGTTCCCACCAGACTCCTGCCTGCGCCTGCCCCTCCCCCACTCGCCCCAAGCCGGGGGTAGGATCGAGGAAATGGGGAGGGGCCTGCGCCCGGGAGCTGCCGGGACCGATCTGCCGGGGGGAGGGGACTGAGGCTACCACCGCCCCTGCTGCAGACCCCTCCCAACCCGCGCTGCCGGGGTCCCTCCGCCGACGGGGCGTCCTTGGGGTGCAGCCGACGCGGTTCACTTGGAAGGTAGGTGGAAAATGGGGAGGGATCGGTGCCCAGGAGCCCGAGGACAGACAGGACCCCTCTGCTGGGGGAGAAGAGGCTCCGGCTGCGGCCGCCGCTACTGAGAATCCTCCCCTTCCCGCGTCTCCGGGTCCTCCCACTGCGACGGAGCGTCCCTGGGAGGGCAGCCCGGGCCCGGAGGGGGTAGCCGAGGGCTCTCCAGTGCCAGTCGCCGCCGGGGCGCGCTCCGGTGCCACAGGGTGGCACAGGCTGGCAGCCACGGGCTGGGTGCCCGGGCCCCAAGGGGAGGGGGCGACTGCTCGCGACGGCCAGCGGTGCGCGTTGAGGGCCCGCCCCCTCGCCTGCCAGCCAGCTCCAGCCCCGCCCCCTCGAGCGGCATCTGCTCACTCGGCTCAAGGCAGCGCGATTCCCGAGGGCGCACGACCAGGGCGCAGGGGTGAGTAGACGGTTCTGGTTCCCTGGGCGCGCGGCCTGGCCTGGAGGGGGTTACCCTGGCCACCGCACCGGTCCCCTAGCTTGGGTTTCCCCAGCCTTCCCCAGAGGCCTCTAGGGAAGAGAAAGCCGGGGACTGTTGGGCTGGATACCGAGCCTGGGATAGGGGTGTGGGCACCTGGAATCCCCTGGCCTCGCCCTCTCCGGGCCACGCCACTGCAAGTTTCACTACCTCAGTCCTGCTTCCCGGCAAGCCCAGGCGAGGCAGGCAGGGCAGAGGCTGTGAGCCTCTCTCTGCCGGGTGTCCCCATCAGCGCCAGCGTAACCCGTGCCTGAGTGTATTTGATGCCCCCTTCCCTCCCGCGCGGCTGAGTCCGTGCCTCCCCGTGGGTCTGCATTTGCGCCTGCTTGCCTGTGCGCATCTGAAGCCGTCCGGGATGCATTGGTCCCTGCCCTGTCCAAATAAGTCCTTTCCCCTCCCCGGGCCTCGGTTTTCTCATCTGTTAAGTGGGACTTGCTCGATTGTGTAACCGATTTTGCATAGCTGTGTTTGTGTGGGAGCATGAGAACCTTTGTGTCTGCTTCTCTGCTCCTTTTGAGCCTCAGTTTCCTCCTCTGTAAATTGGGACGATTAAAGGGTGCAGTCGTGGGTGGGCAATATTATTGTACACTAATGACATGTGTGTCCCTCTGCAAGGGCCTGTCTGTGCCATGTGGATCCTGTCTGCCGCCCTCGGGCTCTGCTCTGTCAAATGGGTACCCCGGCTCAACTTTCTCACCGGGTTTTTGCGGTGGATGAAGGCGTTTTGGCAGGAAAAGCCTGTGTGCAGCGAGGCGTGTAGATTGTGGGGCTCTGGGCTCCAGGCTGGGTGTGGGTGGAGGCTGTGAAATTGTGGCCTTCGCCACTGGGTGTGAGACCCCATCTGCGTGTGCCCCAACTTGTGTGTCTCTGCTTGTGTCGCTCTGTCCCTGTGTGAATGTATTTTCATGTCTGGGCTGGGACTGCATATTTTTTACCTACTTTGACTATGTGCGTACATGTGCTTGTCGGTGTGTCACTGTATTTGTGTGTCCCTTCCTGTATGTGTCTGGATTTGCGTGCATTCCTGTGCCTCTGGATATCCCTCCTTGAGTGTGAATTATTAGTGTCCCTTTGCTGTGGGACTGTGTCACCCTGTCCCTTCGTGATATATTTGTGTGTCTTTGTGTCAGCCTGTCTCCAAGGACACCCCCCTCCAACCCAAACTCCCTCTGGGCCCCCACGCGCGTGTCCGGGGTGGTGGCTAGGGTTTGAGGCGCCTTTCCCAGGGCTGCGAGGCCCCGCCCGTGCCCGCCTCCGCAGGCCGCGGGGTCTGACCTGCACCTGACCTCTCCGCAGACTTGGGGCGGGCGGCCCATGGAGCCGGGGCTGCTGCGGCCCGCGCCGGTGAGCGAGGTCATCGTCCTGCATTACAACTACACGGGCAAGCTCCGCGGTGCGCGCTACCAGCCCGGCGCGGGGCTGCGCGCCGACGCCGCCGTGTGCCTGGTCGTGTGCGCGCTCATCGTGCTCGAGAACTTGGCGGTGCTCGTCGTGCTCGGACGCCACCCGCGCTTCCATGCGCCCATGTACCTGCTCCTGGGCAGCCTCACGCTGTCCGACCTGCTGGCAGGTGCCGCCTATGCCGCCAACATCCTGCTGTCGGGGCCACTCACACTGAAGCTGTCCCCCGCCCTCTGGTTCGCGCGTGAAGGCGGCGTCTTTATGACGCTCGCCGCGTCCGTGCTGAGCCTCCTGGCCATCGCGCTGGAGCGCCTCCTCACCATGGCGCGCCGGGGACCCGCGCCCACCGCCCGTCGGAGGCGCATGCTGGCGCTGGTGGTCGCCTCCTGGGGCGTGTCGCTGCTCCTGGGGCTGCTGCCCTCGCTGGGCTGGAATTGTCTGGGCCACCTGGACTCCTGCTCCACAGTCCTGCCGCTCTATGCCAAGCCCTACGTGCTCTTCTGCGTGCTTGTCTTCGTCGGCATCCTGGCCACCATCTGTGCGCTCTACGCGCGCATCTACTGTCAGGTGCACGCCAACGCGCGGCGCCTGCGGGCGCGCCCGGGGGCTGGCGGGGGCGCCGGGAGCCGGGCGCGCCGCACCCCGCGCTCGCTCGCGCTCTTGCGCACGCTCAGCATAGTGCTCTTGGCTTTCATGGCCTGTTGGGGCCCCCTCTTCTCGCTCCTCTTGGCGGACGTGGCGTGTCCGGCGCGCGCCTGCCCCGTGCTCCTGCAGGCCGACCCCTTCCTGGGCCTGGCCATGGCCAACTCGCTTCTGAACCCCATCATCTACACGCTCACCAACCGGGACCTGCGTCACGCGCTCCTGCGCCTCCTCTGCTGTGGTCGCCGCCCCTGCGGTCGAGGCCCGGGCACCTCCCGGCCGTCGGGGAGCGCCGCTGAGGTTTCGGGCGGCCTGCACCGCTGGCTGCCCCCTGGCCTGGACGGCAGCTCCAGCCGCTCCGAGCGTTCGTCGCCCCAGCGGGACGGGCTGGACACCAGCGGCTCCACAGGCGGCCCCGGCGTGCTCACTACCGCCCAGACCCTGGTGCCTGCACCGGCCGCAGACTGACGCCCTCCGGCCCGCCGCTGCCTTCCTGAGAAAGTATTTTGCAGACTTTTTCTCTTTAAATAAAGGAATTTGTAGGAAAAGCAGCAGAAGATGGTGGAGGCAGAAGAGACGCGGGGCAATGTATTTTATTGATGCTAAACGCCACGGCAGTGATCACAACAGACAAAATCGCTGCCCTTCTGAAAGTGACCCTCTGGTGGGGACACAGGCAATAATGGAGTGACGAAATAATGGAGATAATTCTAGTGACAATACAGTGACGCGATGGTGGTCAGGGGATGCCTCTCTGAAGAGGGGGTAACATGTGATGTGAGCTGAGACGTCATTGTCCTGGGAATACTCGAAGGAAGAGAATTTCAGGGTGAGGGAACAGCAGATGCAAAGGCCCTGAGGCTGGAATGTGCCTGTGTGTTCTATGAAAAGCAAGGATCCCGATGTGCCTGGAGCAGCAATGGAGGGGGGAGAATGGGAGGAAACAAAGGCAGAGAAATGATGGAGCAGGTGGCGCAGGGGTCCACGGGAGGCCTTTGCTTTTGCTCTGAGTGAGATGGGAGCCATAGAGGGTTCTAGGCAGAGGAGGGACTTGACCTAGTTCAGATGTTCACAGATATCTGTGAAGGGCGAAGGTGGAAGCTAGGAGAACAAGGCAAAGGTGACTGCACTGGCCCAGGGGAGCGATGACGGGGCCCCAGACCATGTGGGTTAGGGGTAGATTTTGGAGGCAGCAACACAATTACTGAGGAATTGAGTGTGGAAATGATGGAAAGAAAGAAGCCAATCACAGCTTTCCAGTTTAGGGGACCACCAGACAGGGCACCCTAAAATTTGACTCTGGGAGACTCAACCAATTCCTATCCGAAACAAGACTTCTTTGAGTGTGGTGTCAGATCCTTCATACAAAATAAAAATATAATAAAATAAAAACAATGACGGCTTTTGTGCCTGGCTAGTCTCCCCACTGTGGCAGGCCCAGAACACACCTTTTTCCTACCCTTACTGCAACCTTGCAATGTGGGTTCCCGTACCCCCATTTGACAGAAGAGGAAACTTCAAGCCTTGTCCCAGTGTCTGAGCCAGGCTCCCAGGTCCCAGGAGGTGCAGGCCTGCTGTCTGGCTCCTCCAGAGGGGTCTGGCAAGGCCCCCTCCCTTGGGGGTCTGCATTCTCGGCCGGGGGCGATACCAGGGCCCCTTTTATGCCCAAAAAAGGCTCCAGGCGCGCTGGCCGCGGCCCCTGGCTGTCCCCAGGCGCATTCCTGACCCCTGAGTGGCAGGGCCGGCCCGGGGGAGGGGCGGGGGGCTCCGGGCTCAGATTGCCGCACGCCACCTGCCGGGAGACCGCGGAACTGCAGGCAGCCGCAAAGACGGGGGGGGGGGGTATTTTGGGGACCACCGACTCAGCCTGGGGGCCTGAGTCTCCACGGGCCACGCGCGGCAAACCGACCTACTTCCCGGAACACAAACACACTGAAGCCTGGAGTCACCGTCCCAGGACACCCCCAGGACTGGACCCAGTTCCCCACCCGGCCTGGCGCCCCAACCTCCAGGCTCTTCCTGGGGAACCTGAGACACCCCAGGCCGCTATTCGGTTGTTTGATGGTGTGCTGGTAGGAGCTTTATTCACTTGTTCACAGTCTAGAAAATCCAGAAAGCACTAGTTCCCCTTCTTGGAGTCCATCACTGTGGGAATTCCCGGGAATCTTTCAGAGCTGTGCTGTGGATAAAGGAGGTGAAATGTAAACACATCTTTTTACAGAACGTCAGTGCTGCTCTGCATCTTGCTTTGTTCACTTAATAATGTATCTTGGAAATTGCTGCACACCTGCAGATTTTTTTGTGTGTGTGAGGAGATCAGCCCTGTGCTAACATCTGCCAATCCTCTTTTTTTTTCTGCTGAGGAAGACTGGCCCTGGGCTAACATCTGTGTCCATCTTCCTCCACTTTATATGGGACGCCGCCACAGCATGGCTTGCCAAGTAGTGCGTCGGTGCGCGCCTGGATCCGAACCCGGGAACCCCTGGCACCGCAGCGGGGTCCCCGAGCTTAACCACCTGCACCACCAGGCCGGCCCCACATCCACAGATTTTGTAGTGTCCTGCTGTCCTAGTCTGCTCCGGCTGCCCTAACAGCATAGCCTGGGTGGCTTAAACGAGACATTTATTTCTCACAGTTCTGGAGGCTAGAAGTCCAAGATGAGGGTGCCAGCTTGGTCGGGTGCTGGTGAGGCCTCTCTTCCTGGCTTGCACACGGCTACCTTCTTCCTGTGTCCTCGAGTGGTACAGAGAAAGCAAGAAGCTCTCTGATGTCTCTCTCTCTTTTTTTTTTTTGCTGAGGAAGATTCTCCCTGAGCTAACATCCTTGCCAATCTTCCTCTATTTTTTATGTGGGTCACCACTACAGCATGGCTGATGAGTGGTCTAGGTCCGTGCCTGGGATCTGAACCTGAAACCCAGGCTGCCCAAGCAGAGTGCCCCGAATTTAACCACTGGGCCAGCCCCTGATGTCTCTTCTTATAAGGGCACTAATCCCATCATGGGGGTCCCACCCTCATGACCTCATCTAACCCTAATTAGCCCCCTATCTCCAAATACCATCACATTGGGGGTTAGGGCTTCAACATAAAAATTTTTTTTGGAGGGGGAGCACAATTCAGTCTGTAGCACTTCTTTTTTACATTTTTAAAAATCGAGGTAAATTCGTAGAGCAAATGTCTTGTTCCTTTTCACTGGCTGCATAGTATTTCACAGCATGGAGGTGCCGCCACTTAGCACACCAGGGCCCTAGGGAGGGACATGTGGGTTGAGTGCAATCTTTTGCCTGTAAGCACAGGGCGGAAATAAACATCTGTGTACATACATCCTCCTGCACGTGTGCGAGTGTACCTTGGATAAATCTCTACAAGTGTCACCGCTGGGTCACAGGACCTGTAGATTTGATGTTGAGAGATATGAGGGGTTGCCTTCTGGCGTGTTCGAGCAGGATGCGGGTTTCCGCACAGCGCGACTACGCCATGGCGACCCCTCTGGAGCAGTCCAGAACTGCAGCCTCACGCAAGAGAAATCAGGGGCCAGGTGGGGAACCCCGGCCTCCCATTTAATCCCAGACACTGAGCAGGGACCTTGAATCCTCCAAATTCACCCCGAAGGTGGACAGGATCCTTTCTTACACCAACCTCTGTTCAGTCTAGCGTTTCTTCTATTATTCACTTAGTTTTCATATAGATGGACTCTTTTAAAAATAATCTTAGATTTATTGAAAAGTTAACTTTCTAGCATAAACAGCATAAATGGCACATCAGTATCCCTTGTCATGAAAAATAACAATCGTTCATATTATTGGGCGGTAGCATGGGCATTTAGTTCTCCCGATAACCTGGCGGGTAGCTGCTCGTATTGTTACCAATTTATTTATTTATTTATTTTTGTGAGGAAGATCAGCCCTGAGCTAACATCCGTGCTAATCCTCCCCTTTTTTTGCTGAGGAAGACCGGCTCTGAGCTAACATCTATTGCCAATCCTCCTCCTTTTTTTTTTCCCCCAAAGCCCCAGTAAATAGTTGTATGTCATAGCTGCACATCCTTCTAGTTGCTGTATGTGGGACGCAGCCTCAGCATGGCTGGAGAAGTGGTGCGACGGTGCGCGACCGGGATCCGAACCCGGGCCGCCAGTAGAGGAGCGCGCGCACTTAACCGCTAAGCCACGGGCGGCCCTATTGTTACCAATTTATAGGTTAAGCTACATGCCCACCGGCACGGAGCTAGAGATTGCCAGAGCCGGGGTTCGAACCTGTGCAGACGAGCTCCACGCGCCTCTAGATTGGAGGTACCTAAAAAATAAAGACAAGGAAAACCGAACTCAGTAGATAATTCTAGCTGGATCCTGCGGCCGCCGGACCGTGAGGCCTGTGTTAAAGGAGGAGTGAGCCGTGGAGAGCAGCCCTGCGCTGAGACCACGAAATCGGGCGGATGGAAGGGACGGTGCCAGGGGGCGCCTGGCCATGCGGCCCCACCCGACGCCCCGCTCCTCGCCCCTGGGCGCCGGGCACCTGCGGGAAGGGCGGGGAATCGCGGCTCCTTCCCCGCCGCGCCCTCTCCGCCCTCTCCCCGCCTCCTTCCCGGGCGTCCCGAGGCCGACCCCCACCCGACGGCCGCGACCCCGCAGGCCTTGCCGCCCCGGAGCCGAGGTCCCCCGACGGCAGAGGCGCCCGGGGGCCTGGACAGCGACGATTAGGCGGGAGCCGCCCCCGGCCGGGCCGCGGCCCCTCGGGCTTCCCGGAAGCGCGGCGCGCGCGTGACACCACGGTGCATCCCCCCCCCCGGCGCGAGCCACCCGGGCTACGCGGGGGCCCGAGGTGAGCGCGGCGGCGGCGGGGAGGGGTGTCCGCCGATCCCGGGTGCGGACTGGGGCGCACGGGCCTCGAACCCGAGGCCGCGATTCCCGGCGGCTCGGACCACGCGGCTGGGTGCGCCGAGGGCTGCGGT